TGAAAGTTTTGGTTTTTTTTTTTCATGGTGACATTGGTTAACAAAATCCAATAATTTTCAGCTATACCTTTTAACAGTAAGGCGTATATATATTTATACTGTGTAGTTTTGGGTTCTTGAAAGCTATTATCAAAAAGCCTGTTTTCCAAACAGCATTTTTTAGTATAGATTAAATTACCAGGATATTTTTTCCAATGCATACTAAGAAAGAAAATATAAACATTGCATTTAAAAATATTTCTCATCTTTGTAAAGAGCTGTAAAATCTAAGTGTTACAGTGGTCCTCAGCCCTTGCTATGCACTAGGATTACCTGAGAAGTTTTTAAAGCACAGTAATGCCTGGTTTTACACCTAAAGGGTCAGATTTAATTGGTTAGAGCCCAGCATTGATGTAATTTTGAAAATTTCCCAAGTGATTCTAATGAATAATCAATACGGAGAAACACAGTTTTAGCGAATCCAAATTTTTGGTGTGCACACGATTTTGTCTCCAAGAAGATATTTTGAAGCCATAATCTCTGGTACCCCTGGACCTTATTTGGAAATAGGTTTTTTGCAGATGTAATTAGTTGAGATGAGGTCATTCTGGAGTGTGGTGGGCCCTAATCCAATGACTGGTGTCCTTATAAGACGAAGGAAATTTGGACATAGAAACACACAGAGAGGAAAATGCCTCGTGACAACATAGAGTCAGAGGAGACACAAAAGCGATAAGGCCCAGTGAAGATTGGAGCAATGCAACTACCACCCAAGGAACACCAAGGATAGCCAGCCACACCGGAAACTGGAAGAGGCAAGGAGGCCTTCTCCCCTAGAACTTTTCAGAGACGGCGCAACCCTGCCAACACCTTGCTTTTGGATTTCTAGCTTCCAGTCCTGTTGGAATGAATTTCTGGTGTTGTAAGCCTCCCAGTTGTGGGGCTCAGTTATGGCAGCCCTAGGAAACTGATGAGTTGTATTATGGTCATTTGTCGAATTCATTAAAAATAAAGATGATCATCCCCTACTGTACAAGTACTTAAACTGAATCTCTGGATGTAGGCCATGGGTTGCTGAATTTTTCTCTTAGTTTTCTCGTCCTTTGCCATCTGTGGGCCAGCAGTGTTGATAGAACCTGGGCTTTTTGGAAAAGCATCTCAGGTCCTCCACCAGATCTGAATTTAATCT